TAGGGAAGCCTAATGACGGGTTTTTGTGGAACAGCTTTACCTAAGCATCAGTTTCATAAAAAGGGAGGTCTCAGGAGCACACATCCTCATTCTTTCCGTTCTTCACCGCTCTCCTCTCTCCTCAAATGTGCGTCACTTAGTCAATCGGCAAAGGATTTACGCCTCATGGCTCGTTCAAGTCAAGTGCGAATCTCTAGCGAAGTTCGTTTCAAAAAAAAAAAATAAGTGAAGAATTCAGTTATAAGACGTAACAGCTTTGTTTCGGGATGGAAGTAGCCGAACAGAGAACAGCCCTTATATTCACCTATCCTAGCCTCCCTCCCTTGCCTTGAACGAAACCCGCCACATATCACCCCCCATCCCACTTTCACCTACCACATTCAAACTGCCGCCATCAGCCGTGGGGCAGCCCTACCTGTCGTCGGGAGAAAAAATTTTTTGCGGCTTGTGTATGGGACGAACCGAGCCGAGCCGAGTTTTTGTAACTGCCCAGTCGACAAACTTAGATGCGCACCAATGCATTAAACACACCAAATATTTTCTTCGGGTAAGGGTATAAAAGACTTAAATTGCTTCCAAAATCGTAGGGAAGTAACATACTCCAAAAATTCCAATAATAACGTTGCCTTGTCCAGGATCATTTGGGTTTGAAATCATCATCATTTTCCCAGTTATTTTCTGTACTTCATCTGCTAGGCTCTCTCGCGAATCATCCTTTTCTGCTGCAATACAGCTAAACCGGTTTAACTAAAATTCTTCTACTGTTTGTCAGTTTTGGCTGATCGCATCGACATTTTTATCAGTTTTTGAGGTACAGCGCTGTAGCACTACAGCAGCCAGCAAAAACGCAATTTGTGAGGGCCCCTGGTATGTGTGTGTGTGTGTGTGTGTGTGTGTTCATGTGTTCGGTTATTTCAACTCGGCAGTCAAGTAAACCTAGGTGCTGAAATTTGTGTTCCTTGACTAAGTACCATCGCAGAAACATGTCATTAATTTTCGTCTGAGCCCACGTTGGGTGCGTGGAAGTTTCTGAAGGAAGAACGCTAAGTTGGAAACTAGAAAAACGAAGAAGCTCCAACCATATGAGGATGTTCCCCATTCCTGTGCGGTCCAAATATTTCGAATTCAATTCCTAAGTAGGCCTCGGTATTATGTACGGAAACATGAAAGTTTTAGCGGGAAATCTTTTAAATTTGCAGTAAGGCAAGATAGAAAGCTGAAATTTTAGGATGCTGTTCTCAGTGTATATGTGATCCAAACCTACAAATTCAGTTCCTAACTATTCCTATATTTTACGTATGGACACATCAAAATTCTGGCTGGAAACTTTCTAACTCGGATTTCGCCATCCTCTTGTTTTGACATTCCGTTCATTGGCTAGTTTGCATTTTCAATAAACGGCCAGTCACCGGAAATCATTTATTACTCTTCGTGTAAAATTTCTGGCAGTCATACGTTCTAGAAGTTAAAATTTCACGCATCTCCCTGATGCATCAGTACTGCCCACTGACACCTTTCTTCATCTGCATGCAAGAAAAAGCTATAACACATCCAAATATGTCCATGTATTAAACTTTTGTGATGCAGGAACGTGAGCAGGAGATAAACTCTCAAATTTCTAACTTTCCAGCTTTCCTGGTTACTGAGTAAGCAATTTTCCTGCCAAAACTTTCACATGTCCGCATGAAAGATCCGGGAGCAATTGAATTTGAAAACCTTTAGTCGTACGTGAGGAAGGGGGCATTCCCTTGAAATTCAGTTTTCTAGCTTCTTTAGTTCTTGAGTTAGCGATTTTCACGTCAAAAAGTTAACGATTTCCTATAAATGAGAACTAGGCTCACTGAGGAGTTCTATTTGCCGTACATCAGCCAGAAACATTCCCTTAAAATTTCAGCCTCCTGATCCTACTGGTTTCCAAATTAGCCGCTTTCCCTCCAGGATTTCCATGTGCCCATAAGACGCAGAGTGCGTGAAACTTGGTATCACGTTTTTGGGGTCGCACCTGGCCAGGGAATTACATTGGCACAATTTCAGCATCTAAGCTTGCTTGGTTGCCGAATTCAAATATCCGGACAGATAAGCACACATACACACACAGTGAGTCATCTAAGCCAGGTTTTGTCTTATCTCCCTTAATGAGCAAGTCTCAGTTAAAGTACAAATTAAATATACTTGTTGCATAATATTCAGTTATAATTTCAACAAGGCGGCTTGATGCGGTGATCTATATGAACAACATTGGCGAACTCGGTGGTTATTAGTAAATTGATACGCAAATCGTGTAATTTGGATAAGACGTTTCGACCCGACATGCAATAGGAATGCTATCGGTCAATTAAACATTACAACGTCTTGAGCTTCGCTTTTCGCAATTTTTTGTGCTGAACACAAGGAACAAAATTTTTGGAAAAAAATAAAATTTACTTCTTTGCTCTTTTGCTACTTTTCCTTCGTATGTCCCTTTTGGTTTTGATTTCGGCAGTTCAATTTTCAACTGTAATAAGTTTAAATGATTATTAGATATGGGAGGAAAAGCAACTGAAACTTTGATAAAAGAGTTAATTATGCCAGTGAATGTTACGCATTAGTAAGTGTTACTCGGAGTACATAAAACGATTACATGGCGGATCCTGTAGGAGAACGTGATGCACGTAACAAAGACGGTGATAACTAAAAGTGAAGAAGTTCAGGCGTGAAAAACTAGCAGTGTTGCGCCTGGTTACATTTACGTTTGCTGTTAACAGTTACGTTTGCTGTTAACAAAGTCCAAGGCATTACAGTTTACTCTGTACAAAAACAACCGAAACTTTATCTGTTTTCCGAGGTATAAAATTATTCACTAAAGATTTCACGTGGACGAACGAGAAACGCAGACATATCTGACAGCTGAGTTTAAATTCGTAAGGATGAACATAAACAAAAAACCTTACCCAACATCCTCACCCTTCTTCCTCATCCCTACCCCCTCGCCTTTCCTCTTCTATTTTACCTGCCACATCTTTCGTTTAATTTTGTACTCTTTGTGAGTTTTAATTTTTATATTTTATTCTCTACTTTTTAAAAGTCTTTTGGCTACTTCAATTATTTATGTTTATTTTTATTGGTATTTTTGTTCCCATTTTAATTTAATTTTGGTTGTAACTTTTTATTCCTGTTTTTTATTCTTAGTTCGCTTTTAGTTTTACTTTTAACTTTATGTTCTAATTTTTATTTTTATTTTGCTTTGTTATTTTTCAGTGTTTTTTTACTCTGTTTACCTCTTCTTAACCTAATATCTTTAACAATTTTATCCTCGACACTTTATTTTCTTTTTTGTTTTCTTTTATCTTTGCTTGGTTTTATAGGTTCTAAAACCTTTTTCTTACCTGTTTCTCTTTATTCTATAGATACAGTTAGCGTATGTATTAGGGAACTCATTTATTTTACTAATGAGCAGACTGGTTAGGGTTATTTCCTTCATCTTTTTATTTTACTTGTCCCTTTATATTCCCTTAAGCGCTGTCTATTATTACTGTAACAATATAATGCACTCTAATTTTTGTATTAATTATTTGTTCGACGATGACTTGCGTTTTCCTTCTATCTGTGCTTTATACTTCATTCTAAAATTTGCCTAATTTCTATACTTTGGAAAATTGGCCCAATTTATTTGATTAAGCTTATACTTCTTTATTTTACTTAAAATTGTCGCATCTGATAATGTTGGAGATAAGATTTCAATTGTTTGGACTTTCTTCTCGCTCCTTTTGCTTTTCCTCGTTCCCTTGAATTTTCATTCAACTTTTCATTATCGGTTAACACCACAGTCGTCGTACTGACGAGATCCAGCTATGGTGCTAATTCGGAATGTACACGAATTAATGGGCCGAAACATTTCAGTTCAGTTCTTTGCTCTATTTCTATTAATTCATTGATTCTATACTTTTCCTACGTATCTCTTATTAAGCCATTTTCCAGCTTATTAACTTTTGAATCTGATTTTCTATTGGTTAAACAATATTTGCGGGTTTTATATAATTTACTTAGATTAGTTACCGTAAATTAAACCACATTTCTATCCTCAAAAAATTTTAGATTTCTACCTTGTCTTCTTCCGAAGTATAAATTTCTCACGTCAAATTTCACACATCAGTACATTAGGCGCAAGCGGACATAAAAGCCGAACTTGAACCTCCAATCCTACATAATGACAGGAAGAATTTGCTATTTTCCATCTTTCTCGCCTCCCAAAGCAAAAAATTTCCCGCCAAAACCTTCACTTGCTTAAACGTGAGGCTTAAGCGTGTCTGAAATCTGAGTTTAAACTTTTATAGCCCCAAATCGCAGGAAACATCCTTCTAAAATTTCAGTTCTCGGACTATGAAGCTGGCTTCATAGTTTTTCCAGTTCTCGGACTAGTGATTTTCTTGTTAAAAATTTTGCGTTTCTATAAGTGCGACCAAGGCATAGGCTAAAGTTGAAATTGAGTCATTAAGATCGCACGCCGTATGAAATATCCTTTGAAAGTTTTAGCCCCTCAGCTTTTCTGGTTCCCGAGTTAGTAATTTTTCTAGTTGAAGAATTTCACGCGTCAGCACGTGAAATCCAGGCGTGCTTGGGGACTGAATATTACATACCAACGGAAAACATCATTTTAAAATTCCAGTTCCTAACTTTTCTGGCTCTCGAGCTAATGATTTGCCCCTCAAAACTTTCATGCTTTCGTTCGCTAGATCTAGGCGTATATGAAAAATAAATTTAATTTTATGGGATGGCACAAGCTTCTTATCTTTTCTGCTTCTTAAATTGAAAACCGTGAACAAAATGCTCTCGAACACCACCTATATACATACACAGGATCTTGAAAATATGCGTTTTGCGCAATTGGTGCAGCACAAAACGTACAAAAACCAAATACTGAGTGTAACTTTGTCAGGCTTTTCACCCCTGAGGATGCGTGCTTCCACTAATTGCAGTACCGGCCATCTGCTTGACGTATACAGGTCCATCCCTTTGAAGACCATCCAAACAGTCGCATACTTTTTTACGATTGTCACTTACACGCGGCCCATCAACTGTCAGCAAGGCAAGTAGCATGGCCCTTGCTTATTAAATTTTACTTTATCGTATGATCGCAGTAGCATTCTGCGTGCCTGTGATTCGATAGACAGTTTCGTTGTTTGTATGATTTTAAAAGGGCACTCAAAGCATTATTCACTCCATTCCGTTCTCCGCTGGCTGCTTTGCTTTCGTCACTGATATTTCGTGATACCATATATCATTGCTTTCAATATAGTGGTTCCTTCTGGTTCGTAACTTTAAGATCGTTGACATGCTGTGGAATTCGCGCCAGCGAATAACATTTCTTCTTTCAACCTTCGGTTGAAGATTGTGACACCTACTTCCCAGACAATGGTTTTTTGGTCAAATATGAACGGCATCGACTGTATACTGCGCACTGCATTGGCAGCACGGCAGAAGTTGTCAGCAACACCGGTGACGTAGAGATGCACAACAAAGAATTAGCATGGAATCAAACTGTGAAAGGAAGTAGAAATGCAATAATACAGTAATATGCGAGTGCTGAAACGTCACCAGAATATAATTTTATTAAAGCACTGTGGCTGGCAAATTCGTTCCAGGCAGCTTGCGAATCATGGCGCTTGCAACTTCCTTCTCGTACACAAACCTCACAAGATTGAATCGTTCATGATTGTGATAGGAGCAATTGCACAACGTTGAATTGAGTACTATCATTAAAGTCATAGGCCATTGTTAAAAGCACTATTAATTAAGACTCAATATGAGAGGGTATTAGAAACTTAAGATGCGCAACCAAAGGAAAAAAGAATTCCTAGATTTTTGTTGTGGGAGTCGCAAACTCCCCGCGAGGATTCAGAAAGTGCAGAAGCAAAAATTCAAGATCTAGTCAGAGAGGTCGAATAATTTAACAACATTGATCGATGAGCTGTACCAAAAAGAAAACCGATAGTTATAGAAAACGCCTATTTTAGCACTAAAGCATCGGAAGTAATATTTAAAAAGTGGGTGAAAGCCTAAAACGGGCGTACTCTTCAACTGCACGATAAATACGAAGAAATTTTATAAAACATACCGCCATTTTAGTTTTGTGATAATAGTCCCAAAGGGGAAATATGTAGCAGGTGCCATAATGTTGCTGCGGTACTTTCCGATAAACACGTCCAAATTCAGCCTTATATGGCGAAAAAACCCGGGTAATGCAAGGATAGGGGAACATCGGATGTTTGCTTTTATACAAATAATGATTTATAGGCTTACATTTTCCAAAAACAGAGCGTAATCCGATCGGTGAAATGATAGAAAAATGAGGGATCATCACCTGAAATAACAGTTACTTTTCTTTTCTGCAATCGGCATCACACATTCCAAAGCAGCTATAAGCCAAATGCCGATATACCCAGCCCTTTCGCCCTCTAGCACATAACTTCAAGATATGTCTCCATGACATAGGCGCATTGCTTAGGCTTCCTACAGCGCTCCAGAATGCCAGTTATACGTAATTCGCACTGGCAATCAACAAGGCGAGTAATGTGCAGTGCTAAGTAAAATTTACTTCTTGCAGCGGTCTCCTCGCACACTAGTGTGATACAGCATCTATGGAGTTGGACCACGTCTATGACTACAAGGAGATACCCAAAGTAACTTATACTTCACTGTCATCTCTATCAATTTTATGAGGAAAAGCGATGCTTGATTTTCTCACGTACCGACGTTATGCCGGGCTGTGCGGGTATTTGTTCAATGTATTGTTGCAGATGTTTACTTTTCAGATTTTTAAGAAAGACGCTGGAAAATGGTTCCGACGGTTGAAAAAGGTACCTGAAATTTATGTTACACTTGAAGATACCGTAGTTTACCGTATCAGCACAGAGCTTCATGAGAAAGTGACGCTCTGTCTCTTGACTAAAAGTTTTTTTTTTTTTTTAAATTCTTATAAAGCACCAACAAAACTCTACTAAAACTTTCTGACTGAAAATGTGGTCCTGAAATGAGAATTGAGCACTACTTTCTGAACGGAGAATCCTCAAGCTATAGATCAAACATTTCACAGAGAATCCAATCACTAGTATCTCACCATTAAGTAAATTGCGGTTTGCATCGAGAAAGTGTCACGCAATTATGCGATAAACTGATGGAAACTGACTGTGGTAGCTTTTCATTTTGTTATGCTCCATTTCATCCGTTTTTGCTGTGAAGCGCTAGAGCGCACATGCCTACTGCGACGATCCTGTCTCTGTGTGTTTGTGTGTGCACGTGTATTCGTCTGTCTGACTGTTCTACTCGGTGAGCAGGCAGCTCTGAGGGTGAAATCTTCCCGGAGTACGATTCCAGGAATGCGATGTCAATTTTCAAGTATTTCTGCACTTCACGTACAGACACATGAGAGTTTTGATGGGGAAACTGCTAACTCAAGGACCAGAAAAGCTAAAAAGTTGGAATTCTGAGGGCGTGTTCACAGCCCAAACACGTCCAAAAGCTTTCAAATTCGGCGTCCTAGTAGGTCTGCGTCTCACATAAGTGCGCGAAAATTTAAGCATGAAAGAACCAACTCGGAATTCAGAAAAACTAGAAAAAATGACCTACTTCATGACTCTAGTTCCCCCTACGTGACAAAAAATGATGCGCTTAAGAAGGAAATTTGGTTGTGTTTGCGTCCGATGGACTGCGTGGCGACACCTTGAACCTGCCACCATTCCTTGTTTGTGCCATGTGGCAGCAGATTGGAGCTGCTGCAAGTTCCATCTCTCCTCCGGTTCTCTTGATTCGTTTTTCTCTTTTTTTTTTTTTAAATAATGTATTGTTCATTAGGGTGTATAGTCAGCACTCATACACAGAGACATATCCGATTCAGAGCCGTTCCTCGCACGCTACACATTATACCTTTTACGTTTTCTCTTTGGGACGAAACAGATCATAAATTTGCCTTCACTATCTTATTTGCCCATTGCCGAGTACGGTGCCCACGAGTTAGATTTCTTAGCACATGTAACTGTGATATTGAGCTTTTGCAGGCGGACCTCGCGTGCTTACTATGCATTTTTGAATGTATGCAAATGTGATGATCCCGATGTGCGTTTATGTGTATGCTCATGTGTATGTGTGTATGGGTATGTGTATGTGTGTGCGTGTCGGTGCGTATTTCAGCTTGACAACTAGGCAAGCTCCGGTGCCAAAATTTTGCCAGTGGATCTCTCGGCTAAGTCCCACCCCAGGATCGCGGCAGAAACCTTCACGCACGTTAAGAGGATGCTCCCAGCTTACGTACGACTTAATGGTTTCAAAATCAGCCCCAGGTATATGTGGTCCCCACCTTTGGCCCCGTGGAATTTTTTGGCGGGAAAATAGCTAACTCGGGAACCAGGAAAACTGGGAAACGAAATTTTGAGGGGGTGTTCCCAGTCCACGTAAAACTTAAGAAATTTAACTCAGCCCCCAGGTGTTTTTGGTAGCGAAATTCGCTGACTCGGGAACCGGAAAAGCTGGGAAGTTGAAATTTTGAGGGGGTGTTTCCAGTTTGACATAACTTAAAGATTTCAGACTGAGCGCTCAGGCATGCACGTATGGCCTCGTAAAAACTTTGGCCTGAAAATTGCTAACTTGGTAATCAGAAGAGCTTTGAGGAAATGTTTTCCGACCAAGTACCACGTAGTTGCACAATTATCACTACAACACAAAATACTGCAAAAACGCACTATCGCACAGGCCCGCCTAGTGCGCGTCATTAATAATTTTTCCAGAAATCCCGTGACAAATAATTTGGTTTTTATGTGTTTTTGCATACATGCAAATGTGAAAATGCTTATTGGCAAGAGGCTGTGTGTGTCTGTGTGTTCGCATTTTTTGTCACCCACCTTCAGCTGGAGAATCGGAAAATTTAGAAGATTGAAACTTCGATTGAAGCCACACCATGTGTGACCTTTCGTTTTAATATCATCACCCGCGTACGTCTTAAAAAAATATACAGATTTCTTAGCGGGAAAGCAATCTCGGGAACCGGAAAGGATGGAGAGCTAAAACTTTGCAGGGTTATTCTCTGATGTGCGAGCTAAAGGTTTCAAATCCAGCCCCTTGATGTGTATGGTTCTCAAGTATGGGCACGTGAAAGTTTTTGTTCGGGAAAAGTGCTAACTCGGCAACAGGAGAAACGCAGGCTGGAACGCATCGGGGCAGGCCCGTGCGTTTTTGCACCGGACTTGAATTACTCAGGTCATTATCTGCATGAATGGTTGTTGTTTTACACCTACCTTTTGCGATCACTAGCATAAATCACCACAATTTTTGCATAAAGTAGGAGTACAATTTCCATTTAACGATCGTTCATTAAAAGTAATCTAGTCGCTCAGTCAGATATTCAGCCAAAAATTTATGTGCCCATACGTAAGAACCACGCGTAACTCAAGGCTGAATTTGAACTACTTAAGTTGTACTTGGACAGGGAACATCCCCCTAGAGTTTTAGCCTTCCAGCTTTTCTAGTTGCCGAGTCAGTAATTTTCCTGCAAGGAATTTCATAAGTCCTTACGTAATTACCACACATAGATTGGGGCTGAATTTGAAACATCTGAGTTGTACTTGAACATGGAATATTCTCCCAAAATTTCAGCCTTCCAGCTCTTCTGGCTGCCGAGTCAGTAATTTTTCTGCAGAAACTTTCGTACGCCCTTACGTGAGTACCACTGAAAGCTGGAGGCTGAATTTGAAATATTTGAGTTGTACTTCGATAAGGAACATTCCTCCAGAATTTCAGCTTTCTAGCTTCCCTGGCACCCGAGTTAGCAGTTTTCCTTCTGGAACTTTCAAACGCCCTTGCGTGAGTACCTCGCATACCTGGAAGCTGAATTTGAAATATTTTGCTGGTACGTGCACAGGGAATATTCCCACGAAGTTTCACACCCTTAACTCTTGTGGTTCCCAAGCTCGCTTTTCCGCCAAAAAATTTGCATATTTTTTTAAAGCGTCCGTACACGGCACCCAGGCATCCACAGGGGATGAAATTAAAACGGGAGGGTCGCGCATGGTATAGGCACATGTCCCCAAATTTTCAGTCTTCTAGCTTTTCTGGTTCTTGAGTTGAAAGTGGGTGACAAAAAGTGCGAACACACAGA